AAGTCCTTTTTTCTTCATATATAATCATGTCCACCTGTCTGTCCAAAACCTGTTAATCTGTATGGTAATCACTGTGTACTGGAGAACCGTTTTTGCTGAAAGTTTTGAAAGTTATTTTCAAAATAAAGCAGTCCTCTCTCTCGCTCTCAAGTGGAGTTAGAGAACTAATCATCATGCAGCATAATTCTATAATAATTCAGTTACCCCAGAATGCCGGCTTTCGAACGAACTCCTTTCCGGCAGCATGCAAAAACTATACTCTGTAAAAAGTGACTACTTAAATAGTATGCATTTTTCTCATTGCTTTCGATGCACTTAAAAGTTCAATTATATTTCATGGAAAATATGCATAGTAATATTCATTCTTTTGCTCATTTGGTAGAAAATTACGTCTTCTTCCAAGTTTATACTCGAAGGAAGGGTATAATTCGGTTTTTAAAAAGTTTCTAATTGTGAGATTTTCTAATACCGTGAAATGGCCGTTCATAAAACCTCATGTCTCTGCATTTACCAATGCGGCTCGTAAAGTTAACAACATGCCTCAAATCCACTGCTGAATTTTATGAACCCCATATGGTATCCACTTAAAACCGTAGAAAAACTATGGTTTTCCGTACGCGGAAAATATATGGTTTGTAGTTTGGAAACCATGAATGCGAGTGCAACGGCAGGTCGGGTTGAAAAGTATTCGGGAATTGGGAAAGTTTTTGAAGACCGAATTATACACTTCTTTCGAGTTTAAAATGGGAAGACGTAATTTTCTACCGAATGAGCATAAGAATGAATATTGCTATTCATGTTTTCCATGAAATATAATTGAAATTTTAAGTGCATCGAAAGCAATGAGAAAAATGCATACTATTTAAGTAGTCACTTTTTACAGAGTATAGTTTTTGCATGCTGCCGGAAAGGAGTTCGTTCGAAAGCCGGCATTCTGGGGTAACTTAATTATTATAGAATTATACTGCTTGATGATTAGTTCTCTAACTCCACTTAATTAGTCTTTTCGAAACGAAAACGCATTTCATAATTTCGGTTGACATTTCATGAGTTAGCCCACCTACTGTAGGTAGAAACTAAGGGGAAGCGGGATCGATCGGTAGGAAATTCACTGACAACTTTGTGTACTTTCTGGTTTCAAGCCGGGAAGACGGATTAATCAATAACCTAGCTGCTGGCTGACTATCCGGCGCGTTCACAGGTAGCCGATAGTGGAACAGCCTACGGGGAAGGTCAGCTGCGAGATAAGCAGACCCAGGTCTGACGAATAAGCAGTCGCGGACCAGCAGTGACATTGCTACCAGTGTGTGGGCGCCAAGGCCTGGCATGCTGACTGCCTCATTTGACGGAGCAAAGCCCAATGACGGTGTTATGACACGGCGACCGTAAGCCTGTCTGTGACTGCTTATTTATCAGACCTGGGTCAGCTTATTTTGCAGGTAACCTTCACTGAAGAGCGTTCCATTGTCCGCCACCTGTTGGCGCGCCGGGTGGCCAGCCCGTCTTCCGCCATCCAAGAAAGGTGATTGAGGTGGTTTAGACATGTTCTTCGTCATCCACTTTAGGAGCTCAGTGTAATTGCCTTTGATTCGGTACCTTTACCGCATTGGAGGCATCTACGAAGGTGTCAACTCAAAACCTGGCTCGACACCGTTCGTCAAGACATCCAGGTGGTTCCTGGACCCTCGGCATTCGGTCTCCGTCGTTGACGAAAAGAACGAGTTGAATTGTCCAGATCTGCCGCCGCGGATCGTCACGCGTAGAGAGGTACGGTTCGGGACATCATCAACGCCGGGTAGATCAGGCATGATCGCAGGCGTACCAAGTACGAGTAGTAATGGCCCCTTGAGTCCCAGAGAAAACGGTCGCATAGAAGATCGAAAACTTTAACTGGCACGTTGGCTACGAAGCAAATTATTTTTCTATAAGCAGTGCTAGGTCGAATTCCCTGAAACTGAGGCGTACAACGCAGCGATCTTTGTACGTAACATTATTCAACGGCGAATTTCCCAACACTCCAAAGACTTCCATCAAATAACTGCCTGAAAGGATTGACGCTGAGCATGGTTAGGGGCGGAGTAGGGATTAACTGAATACAACGACGTCGGCAAGCATGTTCCTCAAGAAAAGACTGTCATTATGTCACTGCCCCCTGGAGGGATCTGCCTATGGAAATTCGCATACTAAGGTAATTGCATCTTGCCTTAAAACGAACCAGGCGGTAGATGCTCTGAAGACATCAGTCTATGGGGCAGCTGAGAAAATCCTTGGATACACCCAGCGACGCCGCAGTAACTGGATCAGCGGAAGAACCCTGCAGTTGTCTGCTCAGACGGCTCGAACCAGGTCTCGTAACGATGACTACTTCCGCCAACTTCGGAAGATGACGGCAAAATCGGCCAGGGATGACCGGAAACAATATTGGGCTGAAATAGCGACATCCATGGAACAGGCCTCGAACGTTGGTGACACTCGAAAGCTCTATCGTCTGATCCGCCAAGTTAGCGGTAAGCCCTCTACACTGAGTGACTCTGTTCGCGATGTGAACGGCGGCTTTCTTGCTGACAACTCGGCCAAAGTCGAGCGCTGGCGTGAGCACTTTGAGCACCATCTCAACTTCGATATCCAACCTACATCGCCCTTGTTCTCCTTCTCAGCGGAGTTTCTCCCCTCTCCTGCCTATGCAGTGCCATGCGATCCCCCCTCCGAGGAAGAAGTCGCCGATGCCATACGAAAGTTGCGCAACAATAAGGCACCCGGAGAGGACGGTATACCCGCTGAAATCTTTAAGTCTTGTGTCGACACTCTGGCGCCCTGGCTCCATGAGGTGATTGAACGAGCGTGGAGAGACGAGGTTGTTCCTGATGACTGGGGCTTAGGCATCCTTGTACCTATCCTCAAGAAGGGAGATAAGACGAGATGCGAGAACTACCGCGGCATAAGTCTCATCGACGTTTCTGCGAAGATCTTCGCTATTGTCCTACTCAGGCGATTCCAGGCTGTGCGTGACTCAAGGACGAGGCCCAACCAAGCCGGATTTCGTGCTGGACGTGGATGCGCAGATCAGATATTCACACTGAGGCGCATTCTCGAATTTCGCCATAGTTTCCAACAACCGACGGCCGTCTGCTTCGTTGACTTTGCCGCCGCGTTCGATTCCGTTCACCGTGAGTCCCTGTGGCGGATAATGGCGCTAGATGGTGTACCGGCCAAAATCATCGCCATGATCAAGGCCTCAGTGAATCGCCCATTCTGCTCAACTACGCTATTGACTGGATCCTCGGGAGGGCCCTACGCGACAGTGACGGTGTTGAATTTGCACCCGGACATCGACTGACCGATCTCGACTATGCCGATGATATCGCCTTACTTGCGTCAAGTTTTGGTGATCTGCAGTCTATGGTGTCACGAGTGAACGAGGTCGCTAAATCAGTCGGTTTGTCCATAAACGGTGGGAAGACCAAAGTATTCTCATGCTGCATCCCTGACCAGGAGAAGGCACCCCTGGGGATTGATGGCTGTCAACTTGAAGAGGTGGACAGTTTTAAATACCTCGGGGCGCGGCTGCTGCCTAATGGACAGAGTAAGAACGACATTGTCTCCCGAATCGATGCTGCCCGCTGGGTTTTTTCAAGCCTTCGGAAATGCCTGTGGAACCGACGTGACCTCTCCATCGCCACTAAGATTCGCGTGTACCGTGCATCTGTCCGGTCTGTCCTTCTCTACGGTTGTGAATGCTGGGCTTTGCGCGTGGCGGATGAGCGAAAACTGGAGGTATTTGACCACCACTGCTTGAGGATCATCCTTCGAGTGAAGTTAACCGACTTCGTCTCAAATGAGATAGTCCGCGCTCGCTGCGACAACATCGCGAGGATAACTCAGGCCATCCAAGAAAGACGACTGAGGTGGTTCGGGCATGTTCTTCGTCGTCCACCTCAGGAGCTCAGTGCTACTGCCCTCGATCCGGCACCGTTGTCCCATTGGAGGCGTCGAAGAGGGGGTCTGTTCAAAACCTGGCTCGACACTGTTCGTCAAGACATGGAGGTGGTTCTTGGACCTTCGGTATTCGGTCTCCGTCGTTGGCGAAGGGAATGGGTTGAGCTGTCTAGATCTGCTGCCGCGGATCGTCACGCGTGGAGAGGTACAATTCGGGACATCATCGAGGCCGGCTAGATCAGGCATGATCGCAGCCGTATCAAGTACAAGTAAGTACTAAAACGGGTGTTAGATCGGTATCCGACAGACGCTATTAGGAATGCACATACATGAGAAATGCCAAAGTTGGGGACGTGGCGGCAGGCCAAGGTGTAGGCACACGCCGCGCCAATTGGGATCCGTGTCTCCCCCCGTTCTTTTTCTTGTGTAAAATCCTAGCCAGTGTACGTTGTGGATCAGGGGATATGGTGGTAAGTGCGAGGTGCGAGTTTTTGCCGTGCCGGCCACCTGCGCCCTCTCCCACCACAGGTCTTCTTAACTTTGTACAATGCACGCCACCCCAAATAGCTTGTATGAATTTACATGCACTTGCGGATGCAAGTACATTGGGCGAACGCAAAGGCAATTGGCAACCAGGGCCGCTGAGCATTTGCCTAATTGGCCTTTCAAACAGGAGAAATCAAAACGCCCCGTTCGTCCACAACGAAACACCTGTTAGAGAGCGGTCGTGTTGTCGACCTTAAAACAGCTTTCCGAGTACTTGTCCAAGCGCATACAACTCGAACCTTGCGTTACTTGGAAGCAGCTTACATACGGAGGGAGAAACCAGACCTGTGCAGGCACGTGATCAATCTGTAAATGCCCTGGCAACCTTCACGCCTCAAGTTACTCGTGACTGCGATTTGTTGTTAACATTCCGTCTCCCTCTTTCCTATATGAGGCTTATGGGAACGTCTTTCATCTGATTATTCATTGCCCTGAACCTTGATCTTGCTCTTATGCACTGACATTCTGTACAAATTCATACTGCTGTAGGCTTCTATACGTCACTTATGTTATTCAGGGTTGGATACCAGTGTCGCAACACTCCGTTACTGATGCTAGTATTATTGCAGTTAGTTACGCATACTGTAAGCGTTGGTAGAGTAGCATTGGCAGCCGTGGTGGCGGTGGTAGTAGTAGTAGTAGTACTAATAGTAGGATTATTAGTAGTATTCGCCGTATCAGTGGTGGTAGACGGGGGAAAAAGTTTTCTTCAGTGTTGCGACACTGTATTCCCGCCAGTGGTAGTAGTATTAGTAGTAACAGCGGTAGTAGTAGTAGCAGTAGTAGTAGTAGTAGTAGTAGTAGTAGTAGTAGTAGTAGTAGAAGTAGTAGTAGTAGTCCGCCCGTAAGACAGGCTGGTGGGGGAATAGACAATTCTAAGTGTTGCGACACTGTATTCACGCCTTATTCAGAGAAGGGCTGAAGTTGATAAGCTGTCACGAAATTCATTGACCCCAATAAACTCTGCTGTACATGCCTGTTTTCAGTCCATACCCGAGAACAAAAGGCTTCAGACTTCTTAACTCTGTCATGACACTGAGTCTAGGTGAGGAAGATGAGAGGGTGCGGTAGATGCTGCGCAAGTCCACTATCACTACAAACGAACTCAAGCGAGATTTGTCGTCTCTGCTGTCACTCTGTTGTGGATCACATCGTCAGAAACGACGGTCGAACGGCCAGGTAAATTTAGGGTAAGGTGCTGATTAGACTGATGGTGACTAGATGAGCAAAAGGGTTGGAATCTAGCATGCAACTGGGTCTGACGTCCACTCAGTGGAAGATTTAAGTAAAGATAAAGAACGAGTGCTTACTGATAGGGGAGTTCACCAGTCTTGAGCGCATAGTACTCGGCCAGTTGATTGAAGCCCAACACAGCCATCGACAGGCAGACGAGGACACACACTATGAGCAAGAATTAGTACCATTAATAACAGCAAAAAGCATTAGTGCAATCACAAGAAACATAAAGTGTCTGCCTTTAAAACACTGCATGACGACAACAAGGTAAAACGGTGGGCGCGCACACACAGACAACCACCCCGCAAACTCTTTTTTTTTTCTTTAAATAGACCACTCAGTTACTAAAAAAGAGTAGAATGGTATTAGCGATAAAGACAAGGGAGACTGGCCTTGTCTTTGTCGGTAATACCATACTGCCTATATCATGCGCCGCTGTGCGGCTGCTGGTTGGGCTCGAGAGAGAGAGCCCGTAAGGCACAACGGAACGACTGAGTTCCGTAAGAACGATCGGTGAGCGCCCCCTACCTTTAAAAAAAGTCCAAAACTGAAATAATAAGCGGCATCAAAACAGGCGGCTGACTAACTAGAGGTTGAAACCGTCTGCGCGATGACCGCGACGATAGACTACGCATTCAATTGAATCCCGCTTGCTGGCGTGCCGAAGGCTGGGTAGGGTGGGGAAAGGGTGATTTTCATCCGTCAACATGCCCTACGCTTTCAAGTTTGTGGATATCACGAGAGTTGTTTGGTTCGAAGTGGTAAAAACGCCCTGCTGTCCAAAATGTGCTTAGTACTAGTTTTTATCGTAGGCAGCAACGGGCAGGATCGGCAGTGGGCTTGTAATTGTTCAATAGCCCACTCCTGCTGCCACCCGCAAACAGCACAGCGCCTGGAGTCGCAGCTGGCAGTACGTACCGGCGGTGACGCGGTGACTCTTACCTACTTCGAAGCTGGGAAACCGATCCGGCTCAGGCACGCGGTAAGTACTTTCCACCGACGAAAGCACTCCAAGAACCAATAGGAGGGAAGAAAATCCGCAGGTGCCAATGACTGTGTGCGCGTGCGATTCGTGCATGAAAGGGAGCGGGGGAGGGGGATCGGCGTGAAATGACATTTTTTGGTTGTTAGTGCAAAATCTCAGGGCTGCCCTTTATCCCCTCGCAACGGCGCTGACCTTTAGTCTAGGAAATGTTAGTCAACTAAGCAGGCTAGTACTACGTACCGACACTCGTTTTTTGTCTGTTGAGAGCGATGCAGACTTAGAGGCGGCCCAACAGGAACTAGTGAAGCGAGCTTGCGCTGCATGCCCACTGCTTTCCGCTGGAAGGACCGAATAAAGACAACTAAAGATGGCGTGGCTATGGTGACTGACAAGGCAAGACAGCTGTCTACGCGTCCCACGCACAACCTGGCCGCCAAATTCATGTGGGCCGGTACTCAAGGAAGGCGATCTCTTACGGACGTGTTGTCATAAAGGCCACATTTTGAGCCATTGCAGTCAGATCCTCAGCGCGATCATCGAGAACCTTCCTACTGTTTGCGGATAGTGATAGTTTCGAAAAGTATATGGATGTTTATCGTAAGGGAACAAGTACTTAAGGTCAGCTACATCGGGCTCGTTCTTCTTTTCCTTTTGCGCATCCCATACCAGCCGCAAATCAGACTGAAGCCAATTCGAGTGACTGATGCGACTTGAAGCCTCGGTCTAACACACCCCAACGCAAATATGGGCAACGTATGCACGATCCACCTTCCTAACAATGAATACTGCAGCCTGTCACTTGTCACCAAAATAGACTTTTTCCAGTTGCTTTCAAAGGAGGGGGTTCTCACTGCTAACCTCAGCCGCGCTGATCCTACCCAACTAGGTTTGTGGAATATGTAATATGTCATTGCCTGCGGATAGAAATGCTTGTACTGTGAAACAAAACGGGTGGTGGTGGTGGTGGTGGTGGTGGTGGTGGTGGTGGTGGTGGTGGTGGTGGTGGTGGTGGTGGTGGTGGTGGTGACAAAAAGTCCTCTGGGAAGACCACGAGTCAGAGGCCGGTTACGTACTTATGCGACCGAGGAATCCCCCAGAGTCAGCGACCGTCACATCTAGGAATGCGGCAAAGTCGCCGGTCTCAAAAACGGTTCTCCCGCTAGAACCCGAAGAACCCCGACCAGCCGTCCGGCCGTCGCACGCGATAATTTACACTAGTGACTTACACATGGATTTATTTATCATGGAGCAAACTTGCACAGCGTCTATCGCGCGCTCCCTTCCTTCATCAACCATTGTACGCCGACAGGGTCCAGACGGCCGGAGGCGGGCGTGAGCGTAGTGGTTGGCAACGCTGAACCGCCCGTCTACGCGTGCCACGCACGGCCCACTTTCCAATTTTTATACACCAGTTCACAATAAGGGTGGTGGAAGCAGATCGTACGCACAAAAGTAACTAAAAGATACTGCAAAAGGATCACTTACCAATTTGTTTTGCGCCCCTCAGTTTCCGGCATTTTTGCGTGAGCAACACGATACCGAGGTTGGTGCAGGCATCTGTGGCAGTGAGTTAAGGGAGATATACGCCAGTGTGAACACCGGAAGAAGTGAACTTCGCCGAAATGCTTTACCGTTACAGGGTACATATGACGAGAAGGGACTCAATGGAAACCGCCAGATCACCAGCGGATGCGAAAACGCGCATGATAGGAAATACATTTAGGAGACGGGAAACAAAGCAAAATGGGAGCGAAAGTTGGTGCATGAAGCAAATTCCCGAGTGACGTCAACCCTCCAACTCAGGAGCCATAATGGGGACCACAACACTGGATCCTACGGATACCAAAATCAGTCCGCATATGGAAGACTGTCTACTAAGCCTTCAATCGGTGTCAGGAAGGTGGCGTTAAACAAGCTGACTGGGGGTGAGACAAGGATTTCTCTTAACAAACATTCACAGCAGCAGCAAAATACCCCTGTTGACACGTTACAGATCGCCTCCTCTGCGAACAGCATCCAGAAAGTAGTGGAAACCTGGTTATACATACAGACACAAGAGGAAAGAGCAAGAGGAAACATGAAGTATGAAGCCTGTGGGGTATCCGGGACGTCCAAGGCGCGGAATAATAAAATGGCCCTCTAAGTACGCTACCAGGTTTTCCAGCCTGACGAATAGGTAGTCGCGGATCACGCGGTGGTAATATCTTCGGACCTGATTGGGTACGGATCTGGTAAGTACATGTAAAGAAGTCGAAACGACATGGTGAATGCAGCACGTCGTCCAATAAGGTTTCGCACACCTTGCGACTCATTCGACGAGATCCGGCCACACATTCAAATTCGATGAGGCCGAAATTCTCGCAAGAGGTGACAACCGCGTGAGCCGGGAGCTACTGGAATCATGGCTTACTGGCCCCCAGTCCATCAACAAGTGCAACGATCTTCCGACTCCATACTCCGTACTGAAACTTCGCCTAGGCGGGGTAACAAGCCATGCGGGAAGCACAGAGGTGAACACTCTTCCCAACACCGGGGTCGATGCGTCAGATGGTCGAGCAATCATCACGCCAACATCCAACGCACGTGATGAAATTGCAGCAATTATCGACTCGAATGTCGGCCATCAAGCAATGATCACACCAAGTGCGACGATCCCGGATGAAGGGGGAAGCCGTGAATGTTCAAAGGTATGTGGTAGCATGGCTACTGCATCCTACAAATACCGCAGCCCCTTGTGCAACAACCAACCGTTTCTGCTTTTTTGTCTCTGATGATGGATTCGAGTAGGAATCCGAAACGTCAGGCTAATAGAGCTCTTGTCTCCTTCTTCAAGACTACTTCCTGGGACTCGTTTCTTCGCTTCTATTGGTTTCACACACCGTTGAGCACTACCTCTTTGGACACTTGGCGTAGTTTTCGCTCGTCCTCCACATGCACAGCCCAGCACCCACGACCATAGTGAGGGACAGACGGGACGGATACACGGTACACGCAAATTTTAGTGGCAATGTAGATGCCGCGTGGGCACCACCAATTCAGAAGACAATGCCGTCCTTACTCTGTCCATTCGACAGCAGCCTCGCACCGGGGTATTTAAAACAATCTACTTCTTCAAACTAACGACCATCAATCCTCAGAGATGCCTTTTCCTGGTCCGGTCCCATCCTACTGACCGAACTAGACCAAAGACAGAACTCAACCGAGTAGAAGTACAGGTCAGCAATCTTTGGCTGACTTCTGCGACAGGTGAAACTATTTCAGCGTGTAGCTTATCCCATTTTCGTGGGGGTAAGGCATAAGGGGGCGGCCACTTCATGTCATTTCATGCAGCGGCCAACTTCTCCTGCTCACCGCAAAGAAGATAAGTTCCCCAAAAAAGGATACATAGACTGAAGATGATGACTGCCTCAAAGGCCAGCTGAGCTCCACGCGAAGGATAATAGAGGTGGGTCTAAAAAAGAGTTAGTTAGAGTTAGGAAAATTTACCCACCTTTCTGCCATCTGACATGACCCAAGGTGGCGAGTTTATGGAGATCCACATGGCGCCGGAGAGCATGCTCAGTATGACGGCCTTCAAAGAAAAAAGGCCCCAGTACATTTATTAGCAACGACATGGCGGAAGGAGAGTGAGCACACAAGTTAAGGGAGTTATCAACGCAGGTCTGCGTGTTTTTTGTGCATTTGAGACGCGACTACAGAGATCTCGTTACGATATGTGCGCAAAAAATGAGTGAGAACTACGCAGGTTAAGATTACGATAGTGGCAAATACGTAATAAGAAGACCGTATAAGTTCCATAAATATTTGGCATAGTCATTCTTAGACATTTTCAGTATGTCTGCGATTCCAATTCACATTGAGGCATACTCTTGAGCTCCGTTATAGCTAAAACGGAGTGTCTGCGTTAGTTGCTTCTCTGTAACACTCGATTTCGTTCACTGTAAGTCAATATGACGAGTAACGTGGAGAAAAGGTACTGTTTCAGGCAAATATTACTGCTGATCGACTGAGAGGGTCGACGACAACCTTTTCCGAAAGCTTGATATTCGGTATGGAGTGCTATAGGGTTGTTTACTGTCGTAAATTACGTTCTCAAGAGGGTTCGCGAGGCTTTCAAAATGTCGAAATTGTAGTGGGACACCGCCTGACCGACCAGGCGATATTGATCTGCCAGTCTCAAGCTTTAGTGGCCTACGGAATGGAGTGCACTAGCAGGGAAAACCCAAGTTTGTATAAACTGCATTCCTGACCAAGAGGGCATAACGCTCGTGAGTAGTGTCTAACGGCTTAAAGATGTGAACAACTTTGAGTACCTCGAGGACAAGTCGTTGCCAAACGGGCCGAGCGAAGGCGAAAACGTCATTCGAATAGGTGTTGTTCAAGTGATTATGCAGGGACCTATGGTTTCATCTCGGTACCACAATAGCAACGAAATCCGCGTGAACCTGACATCGGTCTGATCAATCTTCTGTGGTTGTTAATAATGAAATATGTGCGTGTAAGACGAACGAAAAGCTGATCTGTTTGATTACAGTTGTCTGAAAATGAGCGTTCGAGTGAAGCACACCAATTCCTTTCCGAAAAGGGAAATCCGCACGCGTTGCGTCAAAACAGCGATAACTCAGGTCATTCGAGATGCATGGCTGAGAATGTCGGGGAGCGTACGTCGCCGCTCGCTCAATGACTTCAATGACGCTGACCTAGACCGGACGTCATTGACTAGCTGCAGGGTGGTGAAGTGGAGATAAGCTCAAAACTTGGTATGCCACGGTCCGTCTAGAAACAGTGGTCCTTTGACCTTCGATATCAGGTCTTCTTCACTGGAAAAAAGTGTGTGGATCCAGGTTTGCTATCGCGAATTGTCGAGTGGAAGAGACCGGGTAGATCATGAATGATCATAGGCATACTAAATATAACCACAGATAAGTACAAACGTCAACTCACACATGTGTACTTGTTGGTTTTCGAGTTAAGGTCTTCAAAGGTAATTCTATCCACTTCGTTCATAAAATATATAATGTCGAGATCATGCATCAGCTGTGTGTGCTGGCATTCTTCGACAAAGACATGAAAATTATTTTATTCACTGAATTTGGTGTCCGCACAAAGATTTAGATCGAAAAGATGCTGATTACATGCACCCCCTTAAGCCGTGAAATGCGCAATGTCCGTCATAGGAAGTCCGTTTATCCAAGTCCGAGTAATTAATGTAAGAGCGTCTGTAATTGTGCTGCGCTAGAAGGCCTGCAACGTACTCATGGAACCTGAGGGTCCTGCATTACCCGCATATGTTCAAAGGTAGCAATCCTCAAGCGTACTTGCTGCCTAGTCTCGCACGCTTAAAGCAGACGATGATAAGAACAGTCCCAAAAATGTCGTATCTTTTGCTCCACCTAGCGACGCCAGCAAGGCGAGATGGGAATGTCAAAGCTCAAAACTGAAAACGTGGCCAAATTTTCCACCCAAAAAGACACCCGCTGACGTGGTGACGAAATGACGGAAGACCGCTGCAATGAACAGCTGCCGTTTGTATGTAGGCGGTGATAAAGTTAGGTCATCGGATGCCGCAACATGCGGTGTGAGATTAGTGAGGCGAAAAAGACAGTAAGTCAAGCTCAGGCGTGCTGTTCGGGACAGTGCGATTACGTCTGCATCTTAAGATCTCGGAAATCACTACGTATCAAGACCTGATGTTACAACGAAGCAGTCAAAACCAAAACGCCTGGAACCGCCTCGCCCGCTAAAGCACAACGACGTTCATCTGTAAAATCTAAATAAGGCTGTTGCAGGGGCCTCACTTGATCGTTTAAGTCAGAGCAGGTCCAAACAGAAGACCACAAAGTTACAAACAACATTCAATTCGCGGCCAATGTGCGGCGCGCTCGAGGTGATGAACATTTGGAATTCACAGCATTCCGAAGACACGAGTTGTCAGGACTACCATAGAGAGCTACTGCAAGAAAGGACCCTGGAACTAGGAGTATCTCTGATCATCGGCTACTGAAGAAAATTAAAATTACTCTGTTGTCCGACTTCATTTTCCCCCAAAATACACACGAATCCGAATGCCGCGACCACAGAAAATCAATTTTATGGGAATAGCCCAGCAGCATGTTGAGTAACTACATCAGGGGAAAATAGAGACGTTTTGTATCTACTAAAATTATACGTCTACTAGATACTAACCGTGCGACGAGTCCTGTGACGAGGACCTTATAGTCAAAATCATGCCGGCTACCCGGTGCACCCACGGAGGGCGGATGCAGAAATTGCCCTTATAAGAGGTATTTTCAGGATGAACAGGAGCGATGTTATCATAGCATAAAGAGTTGAAGTCTGGCACACAGAATACTGTATAAAACCTCAAAACAAGAAGGTGGGAGAAAAAATTTTGAGCAAAATCCCTCGGCAACTAATTTGTGACCCGCCTGTACCGAAGACACGTCACAAATATAGAGGCCAGCAAGATTCTACGGGAAGAATAATCGAGGACAGCTCAGAATGCTCCCTTACTCGGTCAGTATTTCTTACATACTTTTTCGACTGACATCTTAGTAAAATGACATTGTGGGTGATGTCCATCTCCATCACCCTAAATTAGTGGCTGCAAAGTCTTCCTGTCATAAGCGTCGTGGCTTCCGGCGTAGCGCATGCCGAACATCGGTATATTAGCGCTCAGTGCCATCTCTGGTACGATACCTAATGTGCCTATAGAAATTGAAACTCACGTTGTCACCATAATAGCACGGTTTTTATGCAAGTCGACCAACTCTCTTGACATCTATAAATCTGTATTCCGGGCCGAAAATTTAGGTTTTCGTTAAAGAATTGGAACAATGCTTCGAAAATAAAGGATACTGCCCCTTCTCTCTCTTTACGCCCATAAATATGACGGTACTTCAGCAGTGGCTACGCAATTCGGTTCAAACTACTAAATAGATCATCGGATGAGTTCAAATTGCCCTAAGTATGGTACAAGGTATGGCATAAATGAACAAATTTTTACTTTGGAAGGTATGACGCAAGAGATGGCAGGACGAATGGGTTATGGCTGATGCCGTCACAACACACGTCTCAACCCTAGGAAAGACAAGGGAGCAAACGCCCAATCTTGTCCCCTTGAGTTTCTACACATCACCCTTGGCCCAGGTCATCGCCCTAAACAATGCCGTCAGGTTTCAACCATGCAATAACCGAGAGTGGTTTTAAATGACTTGTGATTAACAGTCGTCTAATTGCGTCGTGAAGAATCACGGAAGGCGTGCTCGGCGACTACATGAAAAAGTATTCTTCTAGGCCCCTTTCTAATTTGAAATATACCTCTTGAAGTCAGCATATGCTTCACCAAACAGCCGACCACACTGGACATTTTTGGTGAGCGCTAAACACACAGACGCGACTCCTCTCATTTACATCTTCGAGGACTTTTTTCGAATTACTTCTCCTGCATCATCTTGATGCAGACAAACATTTTCAGCTTGTGCTGAGGTCGCCGCCTTTTATTACAGCTTGAATTGCATAGGACAAATTTTTCAGCGGGACTTCTGCAAATATTCACCGAGGAAGGGACTAAACACCCTATGCACTTGTTCAAATTCACAGCGTGATTTTGATCGTAATAAAGGGAACCTTTCGAAATAAATTAAATGGTGTGACACTAGACAACTCTTACCAGGCTGACAAATGCCGACATGGTTCGGAAAGTTACGAATCCAAAGACGAGCGGAAGCCCAAGAACGATGGCTACCACACCAACAACTTTGATCTTTGTATAATCAGGCCGAGCACGAGGCACGATCTGCAAATAAAGAGTTTAAAGGAAATGCACGTACGAGGTGCCCTGTTCTCAAGTGTATCCAATGAGCAAGACGTTCTTCAGACATCAGGATATTACCATCAGAGAGTTGGTCACCACTCGACGGGTAACTTGTAGGAGGAAAGTGAATCATGTGGGGGGCCTTTTCGATGCCAAACTAACAACCACCGGATAAGAAGCGAACGAACAGATTTACCTCCTTAATAAGTGATTGATGATAATAAAAATCATACGAGGCAAAAAACAAATCATTGGATAAAGGAGATTTTCCCTCCCAACCCAAGGCGATGTTTTCCAAAAATTCCCGAGCAATGCTAAACCCAATACAAGGAACGGAAAAATCCTTACCGACAGCCCTCACAATCCTTAACTTCGGTACCAATAAGGACTAAAAGAGAATAATTCCTTGGGTGTTGTTTGGCCAACACGTCAATATCTGCGTCGGTCATCGTGAGCAATCCGTTTTTCCGAGGAAGAGAAGTGATTTTATCAATTTTAAGTTTCAAAGCCTCTTCTGGGGTGGCTTCATGGAACCTATCCGCCCCAATAAATGTGAACTGTGCTACAATGTTCAAAAAGAGGAAAATTGATGACGTTCTGAAAGACTTCATGGTAAACAACACTCTATACAGCGCCAACACCCAAATTGCCCTGTCCACTCAAAAAACCAAGTCAAGCAACACCATACAAAACTAAGCAACGACGAAAATTGGACGAAGGTCGATCCCAAGATGCTCCAGATTCTGTTAGTTGTTAAGTTATTCCTTGCACGAGTAATCAAGATAGCATAGTGCGAACTACCCTTTTGTCGCGGAAATCACGTGGAGCCACAAAATTTTTGCGAGAGAAACGTAAACAGGCATGAGGGAAAGAAAGTAAAGGACACAGGGTAACAGATAGGTACGCCCCGAAACGAATTAAAGAATATCGGAAGGAATTAATTTGGGTATGGAAGGCGAGAGAAGCAGAAAGAGCCAAATTCGCAGACAACGTCTAAATTGGTCGGAAAACAAGGCAGTTTTCTGTATTTCTGTTGCCTGACAAAAAATATTATGAACAGGAATAATGATAACAATAATAATTTTTGTTAAAGACCCGTCGGGGTCCCATCAAAGCAAGTAAAAATAAATTTACGTAGAATTTTAGACGAGGCAGGCAGAATCTGTACAAAATGCAATTCATAGTTTCTGAATTTGCAATCCTTAAAAAAATGATGAGCGAGCGGTGAAAAAACTTCACTTAACAATTACAAACCATTGGATTAAATCTACAGGAGACAAGAACCCTCGCTAATAATAATAACATAAAAATGCGGACAGGACTGGCCTGTAGGCGGTGGTATATAACGGATTGTTGTCGGTCATCGTCAGGGTGGCAATAAATGTCAGCCTTGAGGGGTACGTATGCGGGTCAGACAGGACTGGCCTGCATGTGGTATTGTATAGGGGCTTCACAATTGACATCATCTGGACCGGATTGATACGCCGAATGAGACTATTCGCGCCAAAGTGGTCAGACGAGAGGAACCCAGACGCGATCGGCCACAGTACGCTTCGAACCCAGTCGAGGAGAGGGGAAGGGAGGTACGACCAAACTACTAGTAGACGGCGAATAGTGAGGCTTCCGCCGTAAGCGTCGCCAAACCGCATGTGGTCGAAATGCAGGAGATGACACGAAGAACCGCGAAAATCGTCGCTATGGGGGGGAGTGATAGCAGTGGACTTAGAAACCAATTGAAAACAAAGTTTCTAATGATATAATTGAGGGTTTCACATGTCTGTTTTTCATCAGTGTTTAAGATGCGGACGATATGGCAAACACTATGTGTCAGGCCTTGGCATGTGAGTGAAGTTTTCGCTATTCTCCATTAATCTTACGTACGAGTTGGAGTCATTTCAAATTATTTCATTAAGGCAATGAGGTTTTCGGCCCTGATATAACTATTTAAATCCGAAAATAGCAACATGATTACTTGTCGCATCGGTAATTCTGCAATGTTAATAGTCGTAGGTATATGTGAGCCAGCCGTAAACTGCCGCCAGTGACACAGTCGTGATTATATGTAAAGTAGTTTCTCAGCAAATCAATGTCCAATTTGCATTTAAATAGTTAAGGAGTTTTGGGGATAACTACCGCGTCAGGGAGTCCGTTCCATGTTCTGATCTCCCTCTGCAAGAAGGCTATCCGTCTGAGTTATGTAGAGACCTACTTCCTCTTCAGTTTAAGGGGATGACCACCCAGATGGGCCGTCCCAGCATATTCGAAAATGTCATCAAATTATAGGGCGCCCTTACGGCTTCTGACAATCCGGAAGTTTTGAATAAGGTCATCGCCCAGCTGCCTGTAGTACAGGGAAAGCAGATTATGTTTAGTGAGTTTGGTTTCTCAACGTGGGTGATCAAACTTCTTCACCATCTTCGTGGCTCTCGCCTTACTTGTTACATTTGTCAGTAGTCGTTCTTGGACCACGGACACCAGGTCTGGACAGAAGGTCCCTTTAAAATGTGACCAGAAGACCTTGAGATCAACATTTTGTCGTCTCTTAAGCCCCACTCTCAATGCTTTAGGGCACCCAAAAGGACAACGGGTGTTCTCTTTGCCATTAAACGAACTTTCGTAGATATAAACAAAGACGTTTTTGGAAAAGTATACGGAACGTTTATTTGCTCACAACTGGAATATGGAACACAAGCATGGGGCCTGTAGCTGAAAAAAGACCATGACCTGCTGGCAAGAGTTCAGGAAAGGTCGACGAAAATTGTGGAAGGCCTACAGGATTTAATTTGCATCCGAAGACTTGAGGAGTTTAACCTATTTCCTTCTGAGTACAGGCAGATGCGAGGAGATCTAATACAGACGTAACGGATTTTGAGGAACCGGAACTGTGCCCTAAAACTCGATGATTTCTTCGTCTTGGCCACAACTAACATGCGGGCGAACTCATTTAAACTTCGAGGATCGCGATGTCACCTGGACGTTTGCGGGTACTCTTTTTCCCAGTGAGACTCCAGTGCCTGAAAGGGGCTTCCTGACTATGTGATAATGGCGGATACAACGGAGATATTTAAACAAATGCCGGATGTGTATTTGTCTGAAAATACCGCTTACCTGGACAGAACAGTTCTGTTATACCAAACCAACGCCTTGCGTACACCTACCTCTAATGAAGATGATTGTCATTTCATTTTACCGTTATCGCCTACAACTGAGTGTTCTGGAGTTGCCGACCCACACTGTTAATGTCGCCATTCTATAAAAGTGTACATGTTACTGAAAACATTTTCGTTGTATGCTTATTTGGAGTTTGATATCGCTCGTGCCTTTTTCGATAGGGTTTTCAAAGGCAATGTCTATTACCCTTTAAATGTACTGATCTACAAACCTAACTCTTTGTCGATTTGAATGAACTTTTGTTTCGGCGCAAACAAAACCTGGGTTATGCGTCTGACTGCCTTTAGGCCCTAATACGACGGTTTCGACGAGGAGGTCATAGGGACGCCGAGTCCTGTCTGTTCCTTAACATTTGAAACGGGCTACCCATAATGGAAATCTCGGAAGGAATCATCCTCATTATTGATATTTCTTTCACAGGGTCTCAGTAATACACATTTACCCACATAAAAATTTAGGAGCCAACGAGCTGACCAGCCGTCAAGTTAGTTGACCCTCTCTTAAAGTGTGTGTCTGTTTGCGTCAGATATGATGACTCCCCACGGTTTAACCTTGCCAACAAATTTGACGGCGCTGTATCACAGTTCGTCGACATAGTCATTGATGTAAAGTAGGAAGAGCAACTGCTCTAATACTGAGCCCTAGGGCACACAACTTAGAATGAATGTAGAGGTTGACTTCGAGGCCTCAACGTACAAGTATTGTGATCTCCCTGTTAGAAAATCTCTGGTTCATGTCAGCAGCTTTTTTATTCCAATATCAGACAGTTTATTAATTGGGTGTTTGTATGGGACGCTGTCGAACGCCTTCATGCAATTCGTGTAGATGACGTCGACATTACCATCCCCGTTCATTGCCCGAGTCCGCTGCCCACTTGAAAGTAGTAAGCTGAAGGGCATGAGCGGTTCTGTCCGAAGCCTTGCTGGGGCCCCGAGAAAAAGTGACTCCCCTTCGGGAACTTCGTTGTCGCTTTCTTAAGCAGGGTTTCCATAATTTTGCAGTAAATGCATGTGAGGTTGACGGGCCGATAATTTTTAGCATTAGTTCGAGCCATACCCTTGTATACCGGGTAGATATTTGATGAAGAAGGAGAGATATGAGATAGTGGTTATGAGAGATTGTTCGCCATTTCTCTGGAGAGCCTGGCCAGTAGATTGTCTGGACACAAAGACTTTGCTTCTTTGAGACTCTGCAGCTCTCTTCTCACAACATATGCCGGGAGGATTAAAGATTCAAGCACTGAATCGGTTTCTGCAACAATAATAATAATGATAACAATAATACCAATACCGTTGAAATTAGCATTCCGAAGCTCCATTTCTCTGGCGGATAATGCGACAAAGAACCAACCCAAGTGTTCGGTTTTCTCGCGTTTTCAACAACTTCAGCATAATTATCATCCTTAAGTACTGTGACTGGATACTTCTTTTTCAGTCGACTGTTGATATAATGGAACGCAATCTTGGGATTTTTTAGTTTGTAGGATAATTCTGGATTCATAGTCTGACGGGCGCATATCTGATCACATTATGTTGGCGACGAAAATCCTCGAGGCTTACTGATTCTTTATTTTTTTATTTTCCTTTCATAACTGTCTACTCAGGTTTCTGGTCAACTAGGCAGAGAAAATAGTCATCTTTTGTATCTTCATTGGACAAATACGCCGATTCAGGTCTAGTGAAATCGTCTGGATCCCCCTTGAGCAAACAATTCCAATTCACTGACATTACTTCGTTCTTTATTATGCTAAAATCCGACTTCCTCATATTTCGTTGAGATTCCGTGCTCTTCCAGCACTGGGAGAAGAGTGAGTAATCCCACACTAGCGTAGTATGTGCGACTTACATATAGGGGCAACTGAATATACTTAATCAATTTTGAAGTAGTCTATCGTAGAAACAAGTTCCAAATAATTAGCTCTCTAGTTCCCTATAAATCTCGTTGATATCTTTACATGTTGTGCTACAGGGAAGGAGTTGGATTCGTTTACAACAAAACATGTTTCTGTGCTCGACGGCATTCCGTCACATTAAGTTCGTTTCGAACATTTTACTTACGTCCTTGAAGAGTAAAAGAAGATTCTCCGGTACACATGTGTTATTCTCCTGGTAGAAAAACCTTGATCAACGGCAGTCCCAAAATATTTTATATCCGTCGATGAAATCAGTGCGAAGACGTTTATTTTTAAGGTTAGGAGACTGGCCTGTGATCTTTTTCAAGAACATGCTGTCGGCTTAGGGAACTGATAAAAATTGAATTGTGGTTAAAAGCTAATTCA